TTAAAAGTATAGTAACATATGGAAACAGTGACCAAGGACGGAGATATTTGTTTAATTTTCTAAGGAGAACTGGACTGGAAGGACAAATTTAATTAAGATATAGTAAGTTAAAGTGAGACAGCAGATGGCAGTAATGCAACACTGTGGATGCCAACTGCCATAAATCTCCAACGAAGAAGAAGACAAACATCACTTTTGTGATGTACATTTGTGTTAGGGACTGTTGACTGTGGAATTGTTACACTGGAGAAATGGTGAGTGGTTTCTTTAATTGCTATTCACATATGCTAATATGATATTATAATACCAATATGCACTGTGGTCTGGCCCCATGTTAGCAAATTAGTCAGGTACACGTGTTAGCCAGGTATATGTGAACCAGCCATCTTGCCAGCTGAGATGTAGAATTAGTTATGCCAGGAACGCACTACACAACTGTAAGGCTGGTTATGAATGTAATTTGATACACCCAAATGTGTCAGTTGGTGTTTACAGTCAGCATTTAAAATCATAAGTGTGTTCAGTTCAGTCTTAGAATGATTCAGTTAGTCGTTAAGTGTGTCCCTGGCTTTAGGTTGCATATCTGTATTTATAATTTGTTATACTTCCCATATCAGGTCATTACTAGACTACATTACTAACTCTGGATCATATTTCAATAACTATACAAGCATGTTTTGTGGAAGCATGGATGCATGATTTGTTTCATATTTTGTTTAACTAATAGTTATTTTCACCTGTTAGGTTGTTAGCAACTGATTGCAATGACATATTGTTCTCTGTGTTTCAGGATGTGTCAAGTCTTTCCAAAGGGACAAAGAAATAGAAGTTAAGAATCAAAAAAGAGTCACCAAAACAATACCATAAGCAGAATGTATGGCAAATTTAAATGTGTGTCAAATGCAAACACCAAACTGAAAATAAATATAAATAAACAAGGAAACAGAATTTCAGAATACTTTGAAGGAAATAAAATGTGAAATTCTACATGTTTGTAATATTACTGGCCAATATTAGAGAAATTTTAGATGATTCAGTTAGTCGTTAAGTGTGTCCCTGGCTTTAGGTTGCATATCTGTATTTATAATTTGTTATACTTCCCATATCAGGTCATTACTAGACTACATTACTAACTCTGGATCATATTTCAATAACTATACAAGCATGTTTTGTGGAAGCATGGATGCATGATTTGTTTCATATTTTGTTTAACTAATAGTTATTTTCACCTGTTAGGTTGTTAGCAACTGATTGCAATGACATATTGTTCTCTGTGTTTCAGGATGTGTCAAGTCTTTCCAAAGGGACAAAGAAATAGAAGTTAAGAATCAAAAAAGAGTCACCAAAACAATACCATAAGCAGAATGTATGGCAAATTTAAATGTGTGTGTCAAATGCAAACACCAAACTGAAAATAAATATAAATAAACAAGGAAACAGAATTGCAGAATACTTTGAAGGAAATAAAATGTGAAATTCTACATGTTTGTAATATTACTGGCCAATATTAGAGAAATTTTAGATCACAGTTAACACACTAAACTAAAAGAATGAGTTTAACACAATGATATGACAGTGGTCTCACATGTTGAGCTTACAATATGAACACACACACACACACATTGCGACCACAGAGCAGTCAGTGAGCGCACAGTGAGTGTTGTGTAACCTCACATTGCGACCACAGTATGAGCACACAGTGAGTGCGCTGTGACCTCACATTGACCACAGTATGAGCGCACAGTGAGTGTGCAATGACCTCACATTGCAAACATAGTATGAGCACACAGTGAGTGCGCTGTGTGGTTACACTTTTAGCTCACTGTGACGCACACATTGTGACCACACCATGAGAATCATTGTGAGATCAAATTGTTGACTGGGAAGAATACAATTGACAGCGCATTTTAAACTCCAAATCCAAACCAAGCTAAATTTAAAAAGCATATTTCAGAAAGTCTATAGATTAAATAGCATAAAAAACAACTTTAAAACAAACAAACTCAAATAGACACGAGCACACCAGTGTCTGGGTCAGCACTTGCACATGCACCCCGACCAACCAATTGGTAGATAGGAGTCCCTCAGTTGTCCTCATAGTGAAAAAATGAATCTCAAAATCATACAGTCATTGTTGGAAAGGGTTCAAATACAGAAAAATGCTGGAAAACCAAAGAATTAGTGGGACCTGAAGGATTTTTCTGAAGAACAGCAGACACACACACACATTGCGACCACAGAGCAGTCAGTGAGCGCACAGTGAGTGTTGTGTAACCTCACATTGCGACCACAGTATGAGCACACAGTGAGTGCGCTGTGACCTCACATTGACCACAGTATGAGCGCACAGTGAGCGCGCAGTGACCTCACATTGCAAACATAGTATGAGCACACAGTGAGTGCGCTGTGTGGTTACACTTTTAGCTCACTGTGACGCACACATTGTGACCACACCATGAGAATCATTGTGAGATCAAATTGTTGACTGGGAAGAATACAATTGACAGCGCATTTTAAACTCCAAATCCAAACCAAGCTAAATTTAAAAAGCATATTTCAGAAAGTCTATAGATTAAATAGCATAAAAAACAACTTTAAAACAAACAAACTCAAATAGACACGAGCACACCAGTGTCTGGGTCAGCACTTGCACATGCACCCCGACCAACCAATTGGTAGATAGGAGTCCCTCAGTTGTCCTCATAGGAATCTCAAAATCATACAGTCATTGTTGGAAAGGGTTCAAATACAGAAAAATGCTGGAAAACCAAAGAATTAGTGGGACCTGAAGGATTTTTCTGAAGAACAGCAGACAGGACAAACAAGGGACACATGAACAACTATCACTAAACCAAAAACACAGATAATTCAGGTAACAACACAGTATTAAGAATCAAGTGTATGTAAACTTCTGAACGGGGTCATTTTTATAAATTCAACTATTATTTTCTCTTATGGACTATATGTAGACATATTTTGTGTGAAATATCTTATTCAGGTCAGTACTAAATAAACAATAACATGCATTTTGTATGATCCCTCTTATTTTGGTAAAATAATTTTGCAGATCATGCAAGGTGTATGTAAACTTTTGACTTCAACTGTATATATGAAGAGTTCCAATGCAAAAGCCTCTAAAAGCCATCTTGGTCAAAAATGAGAAAACGATACTGAGTGAATGCTCTCCAGACATAGTATATGTTCATCCAGTACGGTCACTTCAAATGCACTAAATCCCAGTCTCAACCCATTCAGAAGTACCAGTACTTACATAGAAACCTATACATAGTAGCCAGAAAGAAATGTGTCAGTTTAAAGAAAAACGTCAGACGTACTTAGAGGCTTTTGCATCTGAACTCTTCATATGTCTTTTAGTTATTTTTACAATTATGCCTGTTAAAATGTATTGTACAAGCTTATGTTAATTGCACTGTTCATTGTATTGCTGTATCGTACCACTAGTCATAAATCATGTAACAGAGAATGTTTTTACTTAGGCCTACATATACCATATTTTCTGCCAGAAAATATGGTGTATGTAGGCCTAAGTAAAACATTCACTGTTTCTGGAATGTAAATTGTTTAACAGATTATCGGTGTTTTTAATTCAACAGTTTCTAATTCGACAGTACTTTTCTGTTATTTAAGACATTTTTATTATTCTTTTTTTTCTTTACAGTGCAGGAAAAGGACCTTGATAAAACTCACCTGACTGTAACTTTCTAGTAATCCTGAAGACCTTGATTAGCTTATGTGTGTGGTTATGGTTAGAGCTAATCTCTGCAGGAAAGTGGATCTCGAGGGTCAGAGTTGAGAACCCGCAATAGGGCAGAGTCCATCACATTGTGGGAGGGGCTTACAAACATCACAACATCACAAAAGACAGCACTCTTTTCGAGATACTGTTTATGATTTATAGGGAATATAAAAAAGGAGTAGGTGAATTTTTATCATTATGGGGTGGTTGTGTATACAAATACCAATTCACAAGTTCACCCTTACATATAATCTGATTGAGCAAATAGTAAGCATATTTTGGCATGCTGTCCTGTGGGAGGGCTCCGAGCCCGGAATATAGCCTGAACCCAGAGAACTCCCCCTATCTCTAGTATGGGATGAGAATAGATTAAGAGTGAGGAGTTGGGGTGGAGGAAGGATGCTGGAAAACTGTCGTAGAATTGAGGTAAGTAAAACATCATGTAAAAGTGAATTTTACATAATAGTTCCCCTTTTATTAGTTGAGAACCCGCAATAGGGCAGAGTCCATCACATTGTGGGAGGGGCTTACAAACATCACAACATCACAAAAGACAGCACTCTTTTCGAGATACTGTTTATGATTTATAGGGAATATAAAAAAGGAGTAGGTGAATTTTTATCATTATGGGGTGGTTGTGTATACAAATACCAATTCACAAGTTCACCCTTACATATAATCTGATTGAGCAAATAGTAAGCATATTTTGGCGTGCTGTCCTGTGGGAGGGCTCCGAGCCCGGAATATAGCCCGAACCCAGAGAACTCCCCCTATCTCTAGTATGGGATGAGAATAGATTAAGAGTGAGGAGTTGGGGTGGAGGAAGGATGCTGGAAAACTGTCGTAGAATTGAGGTGAATTTTACATAATAGTTCCCCTTTTATTCAAATAAGGATAAAAGACAAAATCCTAAAACTTCCCATCAAACTGAATCTACTGAGTATTCTGAATATAACTTTGAATATAAATCATTACAGTAGGCTTACCATAGTGATACAGCATTGCCTTAAACATAGATTGTTATGTTCTGCCTCAATAATTAATTTCTTATGAAAAATAAAATGAGAAACCGTATGTAGTGTACAGTTCAAGTTTTACTTATAGGAATGATGCTACATATATTTTTAGCATTTCAACCACAGCAAAATTATCTTTTTATGTGATTCTTTCAATTTGCAGAAATGATCCCCCAGGGATAATAAAAACAAGCAGACAAGTAAACAAACAAACTAAAAACATTCGCTTATGTCTCTTCACTTTTTGATCTCCAGGATTTGAAATTCACAACTGTATTTTCTGCATAAGACACCATAGCCAGTGATGCAAATATCTGAAAAGGAAAAGAACAGGAATTTGTCGTTCAAATTATTATAGGCTACTGCTACAAGTTCTTTTTGTAATTGCAAGACACACACATTCAAAATGCAGTACAGTAATGTCTGTTTACTTAATGTCAACTCATTATTTCAGTCCAGGAAAATAATCAGCTGTGGAAGGAAATACATTGCATCCAGGTGCTAGGCTATAAGAAAACAAGAGTATTGCTAAACTAATCAGGGAAGTTGCTTTTCATACCGTTGATGCCACCCAGCTGATGAAGTAGTAGCGCTCTCTAATGGCCACATTCAAAGATATGGCACAAATCACAGCTGCTGTCAGGTACAATACAGAGGCGCTGCCATTAAAGCATATTCCCTGTGAATTAACAAGCATTTAGTTTAATGAAAGTTTGGTGAGAAAGATTTTTTGGACATTCGTTTGTGTAGTTTAATTTAGATAAGTTTAACTAATATTTATTCAAATCTACTCACCAAAATTGTCCATGGGATCTGGGGAATCCTGGTGTGGGCCATAGTCAGGTATATGAGGAAGAGAATGACAGTAAGCACCCAATAAAACACTGACACAAACATTACCCATCCCAGTGCAGGAATATGGAGGTACTCAGTCCCACCAATCAGAGTCCACACCAGAAGCCCAAACACCTGAGGTTGAAGATGGAGCACAGACACTCAACGGACTGAAACGGCACTCTTTAAACACATTGAAACTGATCTAAAGTCAGCCATAAGAAAGCAGATAATGGGCATCACATGAGATTCCATTTCTGTAGCTCAAATAGTACAGTAGGCCTATGACACTAGCAAAGCCATTGTTGTTTGAATCCTACAGGAAATACATGAACTGATAAAACATGAATGCACTGTAAGTCACTCTGGATAAATGCATCTGCCAAATGCTTGAATGCAATCACCAACTCATATTTTAGGACCTGAAAAAAAACTTTAGAACTGAGCTGTAAAAACACATTTTGTCAAACAAAATAAAAACAATGACAATTATGTTCTCTAAGCAGCAGAACTGGGCCTAGCCACCACTCTTTAACACCATATTATTCTCCAGAGACTTCCCACCCTCCCTTCCTGTTATAAACAGCAAAGAATTTCTCAATGTATTTCTTGATATTACAGGAAAACTTATTTTGGGTTTGGAAGACAGAGCTGGCTATAGATTAGACCAGGAAAGGGAATGCTTAGATTTGACTCAGAGCATGTGGTGGAAGGAAGAAGAACAATACAAGCTGAAAGGAAGAGTTTGTTTCCCAACAGTTTTGGTTGGTCCTCTTCCTCTCTTTCCTTAGTGAGTAATTATCTTCATGAACAACAACAATGCTTAAATTTAGTTGTTCCTATTCACCATATACTGTATGGTTGCAAGCTATTCCTTGTGAAAAAGAAGTGTGCTTGTATTGAATGTACCCTTGCAGTGTACATCCAATTTAAAAAGTATATTTAAAAAACTGTTTAGTATCAATGAAATATAAGGTCACTTAAGTGTACTTAAAGAGAGTAAACTTTCATGATTATGTTTCTGAACTCACTTCAAAAAAGTGCATTTTGTAAATAATGTTAAATGAAAAGGTTTACAGTATATTTTTAATCATGTTTTAATATTTTTTTTCTCATGCTTTAAGTACACTTATTCTGTGTGCTGTGTTGACTAACACACTAAAGCATGTGTTATCTAATATTACTATTACAATATTAAGTCAATATTTTACTTCCTATATAGCTTCCTTATTGCAAATGTGTAATTACAAATATATTCAAACACATAAAGTTTAAATATAGATTAATTTATGATAGCCTAACTGAAGTATATTTAGCCACCATAAATGCTTGTTTATACAGTCAGCAGTAGGCCTGCATTTTAACCATATTTCAAAGGCCAAAAAAATTTAATAATAATAATAAAATTACATTAGGCACTCTTAACTTTTAACTGCATTTAAACTACCCCACAAATTTTATATAAACTATTTTACATTTTCATTCAATTGTAAATAGCATGCAATTACGCCGCCTAACATTATTTAATTCACACTTAAATACGTTCTTTTAAATTAGACCTATATTGTTTGCGTAATAAGTAGGCTACTCTTTTTAAATGAGTTAAAGTGTACTACTTTTTTTGCAGCTGATAAACAGTGCAGATGAAATAAAATAAAATAAATAATAATAAAAAAGGAACTGAAATAAAAGATTTCAAAAAACAGTTTCACTTTTGCTATATCAAGAGATACATCATTGCATCCTCCTCTGGGAAATGGAAAGTGGAAAACTGTGCAAAAAGTGTTCTTTTTTAAGTAGAGATACCTCCAGCAATCTAGACTAGTTTTCTTTCAATCTAATTCATAACCAATGCTTTATCTAAACTCTCTATAGTTGAGCTCTTACTGGTTCTGTCAGTAATGGTGCTGGTGCTGGTGCTGGTGCTGTCGGTGCGGGACTCGGAGTCGATCTCCATTCTAACGGAATTACAAAAACTCCCGGAATAAACCAAGAAGTGATCCCTGCTCCTAAATTAAAGGAAACCCAAGCGTCTCTTGGATAAGACTCGCAATGATCCAGTAAAACCAACGCACTTGTAAAATAAGACAAGAACAGACGTGGTCGATGATGGAAAGTAATTGTTGTGCTTTCACGTGTATCCTGCATGCAGTCGTTCAGAAGCTGCAATGCAGTTGTTTATAGTATGCAAACTGATACACTTGAATTGTTAGTTTTTATCTGTTTCTTTTTTTTTTTATTGCCTATTCACTCCAACCAAGTGCTCTTTTGCTCGTTCTAAAGTAAAGGCTACTTCGTATTTTTACGCAAACAAATTTCTATAATAGGCCTATTGCTTTAGCAAATTGTCCAAATAATTTCAAAATAAATCGCGAACCAAATCAAAACGATTTTGCTAACCAGTTTGCTCAATTTATTTAACTGACTTTAAAATAATTAGCCTATTTATTCTGGAAAGTAATTGTTGTGCTTTCACGTGTATCCTGCATGCAGTCGTTCAGAAGCTGCGATGCAGTTGTTTATAGTATGCAAACTGATACACTTGAATTGTTAGTTTTTATCTGTTTCTTTTTTTTTATTGCCTATTCACTCCAACCAAGTCCTCTTTTGCTCGTTCTAAAGTAAAGGCTACTTCGTATTTTTACGCAAACAAATTTCTATAATAGGCCTATTGCTTTAGCAAATTGTCCAAATAATTTCAAAATAAATCGCGAACCAAATCAAAACGATTTTGCTAACCAGTTTGCTCAATTTATTTAACTGACTTTAAAATAATTAGCCTATTTATTTGCGAACAGGGCGTGCTGTACCATAGGCCTATATTATTTCATACAAATTACACTAGGCCTATGGGCTAGCTAGTCTATAATCACAACAAAATGAATCGGCAAATACAATAAAAATCCTTATAAATAAACGTAATTATAAACAACAAACGTCATTAAAACAACTAACAGCAACTAACATGTTAGTTATGATTATGTTTTTCAGTTTTTTTGTTTTTTAATCATTTTTAGGGCTTGTATGCCACGGTTGGAACCACGTTATGATGTAAATAAATAAATTAATAGTAATTATATATATATATATATATATATATATATATATATATATATATATATATATATATATATATATATATATATATATATATATTCGGCTATATATAATGGATTTTTTTATTATTATTATTAGTAGTAGTAGTAGTAGTATTAGTAGTAGGTTTTGCTATTGGAAAGTTACTGAACAGAGTTAGAATGATAAAATTAATATGTACAAGCCAGTCAAACCATCATTGTTATAACCTTTTTAATATCAAAGAGATAGCACTGGCATAGAATTAGGCAAATGTTGCTATGCTGAAGAGACCCCTACGACTCCTGACGAGAACACTTAGGCCTGTTGGTGCATTGTTTAACCTGACCTCATTTGATCATCAGTGAATGATCGTCTGCGCGCATAAGGCAATTGAGGCAACAGAACATTTTTATTAACAAAACGACACAAATTCCTGTAATAATTCCAGTATGTCGCAAGAGGGCAGCAAATCCATAGAAGTTGTCAAACTATGGTACTGAAAGGTTCATCTATAACTGAACTGGAGTCTCTAGGCTAGCATTTTACTGCCCAGTATTTTGCAGAATATACTAACAAAATGTTCTCCAAAAATGTGTCATGACTGTTAATGGTTTTATTTGTGATATCTTAATTTCACTCTGTATTGTCGATTTTAGGCTACTATTATTATTAAATATTATCTAGATAGCAACATTTAGAAAGTCATTACATAACTATATTATTACTGACATCACTAAATTCATTAAATTAAATGCATGAGGGGAACGACCAATCAAACATCTATTTTCTGTTATAATGTATATAACACAGTCACCATAAACCTATTATTTGATGGCTGTTCACCCCATCCTTTCTGCCAGCTCTCTACATCAAAGGTTTGCTTTCACTTTGTTGATCAGATTTTTTATTTATGACTAAACAAACCTGAAAATGCCATGAAAGCATCTTGCCCAGCTGTGTTGCTCTACCCCACTAATACAGTCTGTTACAGGCAATATCAGTGAACGGGCTCCAGTTATTGAATTAAAATATTTTATTTGAGACTCTGTACACAGCCATTAATAATACTCCATACAGGAAAGAGCGTATTACAATCCTGGAAAAGAAAATAAGAGAATAAGATTAAATTAAATCGATTTAAAAAAAAAATTTAATAATCAATACTTGATTAGAAATAAAACAGTTGATCAATCCATATAGATATTTAGCATGTTTTTTCATCATTTAAAATCCTAATAGACTCTACATGCTCTATTTGTTTAAAATCAGTAGGCTTTAAATCCAGTATTATTTATCATCTATAATGTTTTAATTAAAAGAAGTTTGATTCATAAAATAAACATGGCAAAAATTCTTGGTGAAAAAATCACGGCAACAATAAGATGTCCATTGCTCAGTACCCTGCGTGTGGCATGTTCGTCTCAGTAACCTCTATTTACTAATTGTTGTTCACAGCGGTCACCATGTAGTCAGTTGTAAAGGTTATGCCTTCGATAAATGCACGGTTCCACAGAATGTAATTAAGTCATCTTAGGAGGAGACGTGCTGTGAGGCTGGTATAATGCTTTGCAGGCAGCCATGTTTAAGATGCATGAATTTATTTCATAGATTAACAGAAATGAAATTAAAGGTCTAGTTATTGTAACTGTAAAAAATTAATAGGTCATACAGAATATATTATAAACATTACCTACTCACTATAATACATTATAAAAAAAATATTTTCATTATATTACATTTACAAAAATTTCCATCATATTGTGACAGCATTAAATTTGAAGTTTTTAATTATCTTAATTTGAGAGGAGTCTAGGCACAGTGCATGTTTATCTCATGTACTATATTCTGAGACAGACTACATGAGAGTAGCAAGGTCGAAAGTTCAGTGTCATATACTGTCATATACCATTGCTTTGTACTTTAATTGTAGCTAATGGCAAAGTCAGGATGTGCGCAAGCACTGCTGTAAATATCATTAATTGGTCTTTCTTATGTTATTCAGGTTAAATATTTCCCTCTCTAATTTCAAGAAATGTTTAGTATTGAAATTTGGATATGCATTTTTGTTTTGTTAAAAAAATAAATAAAGCTAATAATGAAGCATGCAAAAATATTAATGGGATGTTTTTCTTCTTCTTCTTTTTAATCTATAAATTTGTATTTACTAATATCCAGCC